TATAATATGAATGATATTTATGATGTTTTTAATTGAACTGATTTTGAACTCCATCAGCACCATGCTGATTCCACATTACGGTCATATATATTACATGACTAGACTTATGATGTGAATGATATTTAGGATGTTTTTAATTGAACCGATTTAGATCCAGATAGATTCAAACAATTAGGATCAAATCTTATCGGGCTAGATTAAAATAGTACTACTTCTGTCCTTTTTATATTGGAACAGAAGGGGGTTGCACGATTATTAAGAAAAGTGAGTTTGTGTGGTTGATATTAAGTGATAAAGTAAGAATAAAGTAAGAATGATTTAGAGTCACACAAAATTTACCAAATAGGGTATTAGACAATTTTAGTGGAATTTTTCGAAAAGGTAAATGAGACAATATAAGGGAGACGGAGGGAGTAGTAAATATACATTTATGTTCACGAGACTTGACCAGATTTTAAAAAAAATTACATATATAATATTGATGTCGTATGAATTGAAAGATCATAAAAAGATATTTAATTTGGTATAATTTTTATAAAAATTGCAGCAAAAATGAAAGAGTTATGACATTTTATAAAAAAAGAATTACTTGCCACATGGAAGCATTTTATTGGATGTGTATTAAATGTGAAATTGATATGGGCAAGATATTGGATTTGTCTGCATGGAGCCGAGCGTGAAGTGAGGAGGTGCGCATAGCAATTCTAATTACCGTTTTAATTTTTGTTAATTTTAATTAATAATTAAGAAGGCCAGATTTGTCCATCCATGATTACATAAAGCAATTTTGGGGGTGCGGGAAGCAACACCCTAGTATTTTTACAATCAAGTAGATGCATTTTAACTTGAACAAGTATGCACTTTATGTACTATGTAACATATGTGCGTTCATTGCAAAATTTAAGCATTTTATACACATTTGAATATTTGATGCACTTAATACATTTTGCATTATAACCTATATACGTAGTATTTTCCAATTTTTTTTGTACATTTTTACATATTATATTTTTCTAAATTTTTGTAAATGTTCGAGTGCATATATGATTAAATGTAAGTGCGTAATAAAATAAGGATAGTGCAATTTGAGATACTAAAAGTGCATATTAAATTATTCATGTTGGCCCTGAAGCGTATTATTTGTCGTTGCAATTACGTTTAGATCATGATGCACATTTTGTTGTAAAATCGATGCACACTTGTTGTTAACATGATTCAATTATCTTTATTTTTATATCTTATGAATAAAGATAAGTCTGATTCTGAATATTTTTTTATTATCCAGACACGTGTAAGTTGTTGAAAAAATCATAACTGTGTACGAGTTTATATATAAATACTACATTAAATAGTGCACTTTAATGTATAAGTAAATGCAAATTCATAAATTATATTTGGGATGAATAAAAATGTAGCTAAAGCGTAAATATGAGTAAAAATTATCTGGTCCGGGTCCGGAGTACAAAAAATGTAGCTAAAGCGTAAATTAAAATTAAATTAAATTTTTTACACATAAATTTCTACACTAAAAATACAAAGATTTTTTTTTTTAATTTGGGACAGGTCCGGCCCGGTTGTCCCCCTCTACCTCTTTCCCCTAGAAACAATAATTATTCACAATCATATTTTGAGAATTTGCATAAGTTTTAGTCCAACTCGGGGAATTTTCCCCTAGCTACACATTACCTACCTAGTATTCCATATCTCCCTTATAATTTTTCCAAGTGTGATCGGCATATAGTATGGAATAATAAATGGGCTTATGTCTAAAATAATACTAAAAAAAGAGTTATGGACACAAAAGAGACCTTATTGTCCATTTTCCAAAAATGAGACTAAGAATGGGTTAGGAGACTATTATACCCTTATATTAATAGAATCTCACCCATTTTTGCTATAGTGACGTCACAGTGACCAAAAACATTATAGTGACCAAAATCCGCTAGTGACCAAATGACCAAAAATTCAAAAATTCGTCAGTGATCAAAATCATTAGTAAAAAAAAATTCTACATAGTTACCAATGTCAACTCGTCCAGTGACTAACATCCACCAGTTCAATTACACTAACCCGGTCGTTCAGTTACAATTACCCGACCTGTCCAGTTACAATTACTCAATCATCCAGTTGCAGTTACTCGACCCGTCCAGTTACCCCGATCCGTCCAGTTACAGTTACAATTATATATAGTTACCTGACTCGACCAATTACAGTACGTTACACGATACGTTCAGTTATATTTATTCAACTAGTTACAGTTAGGCTGTTAGCTGATTCGTCCAATTATAATTATCCGATCAAGCCAGTTACAGTTACATGATTTGCCCAATTACCCGATTCGAACAATTATAATTACCCGAAACCATAAATTATCCAATCTGATCAATTATACTACGTATTTACCCTGTTCGATCATTTACGGTAACCCAACTACAACCACCACCATCCACCACCACTGGCTACCTCCTTCGTCGACCACCACTAGCGATAGTGTCAACTGGCCACCAGTGACCACCGTCATTGCCCGCCAATAACCACCGCCGGCCAGTGACCTCTGGTCATCTCGTGACCCCCAACCAGTGACTGACAGCCGCCGGATTCTGATGACCACCGCCGGATTACGATGAACACCGCGGTTACCGATTCCAGTGACGTGCCGCACCCGACTCCCAAACACCCCCTCCGACAGCCAGCCTCCCTGCTCGATCGTGCCACCATTTGCGCAAGCCCCGACAGAAATTGTAGCCGCGTGCCGCCGATTTCCGCAGCCAATCATTGATTTACTTTCCAATCAAAGAAACTAGAAAGATTGAAGAAGAGGAAGAAGAAATTTAGCTGAAGCGACGAGCAGTGGTGGCGTGAAGCCGAAGACAGAGAGACAGATAGATTAAAGCGGAGGCCGGCGAGTGGTAGGTGATGAAGCGGTGACCGGTAGGTGAGTACTCAAGCGGCGGCTGACGGGTGGTGAGTGTTGAAGCGGCATCCGGCAGGTGTACGAGATCTGCGGCGGCCAAGAGATTCCCTGGAGATCTACGCGCTGGTGTAGAGCAGATGGGTGAGAACGGAGAAGACAAAAGCTTCAAATTAGGGGCATTTCAGTACATTAAGTTATAATCCGTCTTACTTTTGTCCAAATAATAAAGTAGTCCTACTTTTGTCTTTTGAAACTCCATTAGTATTATCTATGTCATTATTTCATATTTCATAATAAATTACAAACTTTGTGATTGAATTATATACGGAAAAGAGATAAATTAAAAGAATCACAACATACATGAATAAAAAGGAAAACGTCAAATTATTTGGGACATTCAAAAAGAAAAGATATGCAAAATTATAAGGGAAGACATAATATATATAGGGATTGGTTTCCGTGAGAAAGGTGTCCTAGGAGAGAAATGAGAAATAAAATCTAGCCATTAAGCATCTTAAACTAACGGTGAAGATTAAGATTAAATGATTGACATAATTAGTCAAACTTTGAAGGGTTATTATTTCAACCAATACTACGTGATTGCTATTGAGGATACAAAAGTAAATTATTCCTTACTTTTCAATCGGTCTGGTCTGGTCTGAACTGGTCTGGTCTGGTCTGAACTGGTCTGGTCAGCTCTGGTCTGGTAAACGTCTGGTCTCTGTGTATTTTATAACTAAGAAATTCTGGTCTGGTCTGGTCGGTTTTAGTCTAGTCTGCTCTGGTCTGGTCTGTTTAAGTCTGGTCTGGTCTGGTCTGGGACTGAAAACAGTCCAAAAGAAAACATCCCTAGTATGTATAATTGTTGTTTGATCTATCGGTGAGTAATCCTTCTTATTTCTCTCCTAAGATGATTTTCTCACTTGAACCTAAAAATATACCTGTGATATTCTCTTAGGAAGAACACTCATATAATATTATATATATATATATATATATATATATATATATATGTGTGTGTGTGTGTATATATATATACATATATATATATATATATATATATATATATATATATGTCAAGCACCCTTTGAACTTGAATACATATTGCGGACCAGTTAACTTGCAAAAATCATTTGACGACCTTCCCGATTGAATTTTTTGCTGACATTTGGTATGGATGAACTAGACTTGATGAGGAACATACACAAAAAATTTGAGCAAAAAATATCACCGGGAAGGCCACCAAATTGAGGAGGCCGGACGGGGCTCCTGTCCAGAAATTCCTGACTGGAATATTTGTGTGTGTGTGTGTGTGTGTGTATACAGAAAAGTTCAGGTCCGAACGTTCGGACAGGACCCTCCGTCCGAACATCTCCGTTTGGGGACCTTCCCAGTAAAAATTTTTGATGATTTTTTTTGAGCATGTTCCTCATCAAGTCTAGTTTGTCCATATCAAATTTCAGCTCAAAATTCAATCGAGAAGACATTAAAATAATTTTTTGAAGTTGACTGCATTTTTATATGTACATTTTGACGCAGTCAACTTCAAAAAATGATTTGAATGCCTTCCCGGTCGAGTTTTGAGCTGAAATTTGATATGGACAAACTAGACTTGATGAGGAACATGTTCAAAAAATTTCATCAAAAAATTCCATCGGGAAGGGCCCCAAATGGCCATGTTCAGACGGCGTTCGGACAAAAACGTGCTGGACAGGATCATTTCTCTCTCTCTCTATAAAGAAATAGCTCAAATAAGTAAAACATGCCAAAGTTAGAAAAGAAGATGACTAACTAATACTTAGGCAACTTTAATTTATCTATTACTACCTCCGTCCCGAATTGATTTGCAATTTTGACTTTTCTTGGTCAAACAGTTGCGTTTTGTTCACTTAATTAGGATGCCAACTTTTAGTTATATTCTAATTTGGAGTTTACACTTTGAAGAGATTTTGATGTAATTTATGAATATGTAAATTTTATTTATTAAAAATTAAATTAATCGTACAAAAGAAGGGTTGACTTTTATTATTGATTGACAAAAAAATATTGACTTTACAAAACAAATTGGGACGAAAGGAGTATGTACCTTTGGAGCGACATGGAGTACGACAACGATGATCCCACAAATTGCTGCGACAACATTCCCTGCCACAACAATACCCAATAGCGCTTTCTCTTTTATTGCCATTTTAGCGCATGCGTGTCGGTGGGTGGTTAGTTAACGAATAGGGTGTTATACATACTCCGTATTTTGATAAATTAAGAGTATAATTCTTAATTTGCGATTGTATTTGGTAGGAGGGATGGACGATATATAAAGCAAAGGTGTCATATTTATATTGAAAGCCAGATCGCATTACCTGCGGCTTTTGTCCCTAACTTTAGGGATTACTTCATCATTCAATTCCTTTTTACCAACTACTACTCCGTAGTACTCCCTCCGTTCTTTATTATCTGTCCTCTTAGGCTTTGGCGCGGGTTTTAAGAAGAAAATAGTAGGGGTGGTGTAAAATGTGTAATGAGTAGTGGATAAATGAAAAAGTAGGAAAGAGAAAGGGGTAATGGTAATAAAAGTGGAGGTATAAAGGTATATTTAAAGTAAAAATTTTCCTTAAATGGAAAGAAGGACAAATAAAAAAAACGTCCCAAAAAAGGAAAGAAGGACTTTTATTAAAGAAGGGAGGGAGTATTTACCAAATTGTACTCCGTATGTTTGTTGTAATGTCAATAAGTCAAGCACGACATGGGGATTGAGGTCGTAAGGTCTCAACAATAACTTTTAAGAGCACTTTTAAGAGCTCTTTTGTTAACTCTATTTTTTGACTTATGAAGCTTATTAATTAACTTTTTATACTAACATGTAATTTTTCATTATGCGCGCTGAGTTGTGTAATAATAATAAAGTAAGTTTAAGTTACTTTTCTGGTTGTATTGGTCGAAGTTGGTGTAGATGACCATTTCAGCTATTTTTTCATATAATGTTTTTATTGTATTAATAAAATACGGAGTATGTTTTAAATATAATTTTATTAATAAATCAGCAGAATCGGCCAATACAGCCTGAACTTCATTAATTTCAGCAAAATCAGCCGATTCAGCCGATTTAGTGTCATCAAACGGGCTCTAAATATCATAAAAAGGTAGTGTGAATCTAAATCAAACGTATCTAAATTAGAAGTTTAGTGAAAAAACATGTATTTAGGAAAAGAACTAATAATTAAACTTTGGTTGCTAATATAAAAATCGCCCTAGAAGAACTAGAATGTCCATACCTCATTAGGATGATAGATACTAAGATTTGTCTTAAAAACCATCAAGACTTTGAGGTAAAGTAGCTTTCTCGTATGATGATATGATGAGGCCATTCTTTAAGACGACACATATATTATATGTCTCGAATCATCGTCATACGTCACACATTACGCATATTGGACTATAAAATGGGATGCAAATTCAAATTATCCTTAATACTATTACTCCGCATTTGTTAATAGGTAGTATATCTTTTAGCTAGTTTAATTAGTTAGCTTACATCACTTATTGCATATCATTATTCCAGGTTTGGCAATGAAGAAGTAACGGAATGCTAAAGAATTGCTCAAAATCATTAGAGTATTGGTATTGAAGAAGTAACAGAATTATGGAGAATGGTGGAGAATGGAGACATATTTAGTAGGGCTGGGTCCGAAAAACCGAAAACCGAAAACCGAATCAAACTAAACCGAACCGCAACCAAATAAAACCGAACCGCTAAGAAACCGAAACCGAATGTAAAGAACCGAACCGAACCGAAGTTGTTCGGTTCGGTTTTGGTTTTTACCCTTCAAAACCGAACCAAACCGAACAAACCGAACTATTTAAAATATGAAATTTATATGTTAATTGTTAAGCATTAATTCTAATTAATCTTGATATCATCAATAGTCTTTGGTTTTCTTGTGTTAGAAAAATAATATTTGTGTTATGTTTAATTTAATTTAGTTTATAAATTCATTTACACATTCATTGTCTGTAATAATAGCTATATTGAATGATGATCATATGTGTTTACTAGTTATTAGTAGTAATTAACTTTTATTTTTAGATAACTTAAGGATTTTATATTGATAAAACAATAAATATTAATCTCAACTATATCACATAGAACATATATATTCATGAAAAATTTTCAAACTACTTACAAACAAATTAAATCAATCTCTTCTCATTTTTATTTTATTTGTCGTTGTATTGTGCTTGAATTTTTTATGTAATATGTTTGATCCCTCTAAGTATTATATCAATTTTAAATCAAGTGAAAAAATTTTGGTAAAAAAACCGAAACCGAACCGAAACAAATCGAATCAATCAAACCGTGGTTCCAAGTTTTGGAGTGTAAAACCGAACCGAAACCGAACCGAATTTTTTACTTTGATTCTACATTTGGTTTTAGGTCAAAACCGAACCGCAAGAACCGAACCCACCCCTAATATTTAGTAGTTTATATATGTAAGAGATTTTGTTTAGCAAAGATCAATGTTTTCATGCAGGCAATTTGTTTTATACATAGATTTTTGTTGTGATAATAATAAGTTAGTTGAAATGATTATATTTTTTATATACGTATATTTCGTTTATGTGTTGGCTAGTACTTCGTATTACTTTGTATATTTCATTTCATGTTTGTGTAATTATTGGAAAAGCAGGTAGAAAAATATCATTAAATAAAAATGACTGTTTAAAGGTATGTAGACTTAGGGAGTGTTTGCAATTGCTTCAACTTTAAAAAAGTGATTTTTTAAAGTGATTTTGGGAAAAGTGATTAATAGTAAAAGTTGGTAGTGTTTGAGAAAAAAATGATTCTGGAAAAGTAAAAGTTGGTAGTGTTTGGTAAAATAAGTACTTTTTGTGTAATAGAAAAAGTGAGAAGCAGTTTAAAGCACCCTTCTACCTGCTTCCAGCTTTTAGCTTTTAAGTGATTAATTTAAGCAGAAACTGTCATTTGAAAACACTCTTTTCAACTTTTTTTAAGCCAAAAGCTGAAAAGCGCTTTTTTTAATCAAACCCAAACACTCCTTTAGGATGTTTTTACTTGGACTGTAATTTGCCCCAGACCAGACCAGACCAGTTCAGACCAGACCAGACCAGATCAGACTTGGATAGTTATAAAAATACAAAGAAACCAGACCTTACCAGACCAGACCAGACCAGTTCAGACCAGATCAGACCAGATCAGACCAGACCAGACTAGACCAGCAAATTATAGTCCAAGTAAAAACATCCTTACTGAACATCTGAGGTAACTTATTGATTTTGTAAAAACATACAGCCTGCCTTGTTATAAAAAATCGTGCTGGTAATAAATTCAAAAAGGCCATTCTATAGGTGAAAGCGCCGGGCATATGACATTTAATTTTTTGAATCTTTTTTTTGTTGTCGAATTGTTGTGGCGCTTATTCTATTGGGATCCGGCGTCTCTGTCTTGGTTAAACAGCCAAGGAAGGTGCCTGGCTGTTTTCATCATCAGATCAAAAAATGAAGGGTTGAAGATGAAGGACTCCATTTTTTGCACAAATCTCGAGGCCTGCTTTTCGATCTGTGCCGTCCATTTGAGCAACGCACTCTGCCTTAAGGCAGAGGATCCCAATCCATTCTATTGATGAACAAAAATTCTATTGCTACAGATTTTTCATACACGCTAGTACACACTCATGTTTGTGTAGGGTTTTTTGTTGTCTGTATACAGACACAACGTATTTTCAAATACGTTGTGTCTGTATTAAGACAACAAAAAACCCTACACAAACATGAGTGTGTACTAGTGTGTATGAAAGTGTGTACCTCATGCTTAATTCATTGATGAAAGCATCTTTAAATCTTCGTTTTGGGACACAAATTTCAGGCGCTGAGAAGCGTCGCACATGTTTGATTTTAAGCGCCTCAATTGACAGTGTTTCCTCTCATGACTTTAAAGATCTGAAAACTCTTTCTATTCTAAAGGTTTATTTACCTTTTCATTTTTTCTTCCTTCTATTTATCATTCATACCTTTTCTAGTTTCTAGGTCTTCTTTGTTTTGCGCAGAACAATTAACTTTTTTAACTTTTTGCTTTGTTTCATCATTTTTTTATTCTACATCTCATGCCTTTACTCTGTTTTCTTTTTGATTTTTTAGTGGCACTCAACTTTGTTTACATCGATTTCCATTCAATCATTTTTACCTTGCTATTCACAGCTTATTTTTATTTCTCACATACTTTTTGTATATTTTTACAACTAAGAACATATAGTTTTGGGGCACATGATTTACAATTATTCTTTACTGGATATCAAGCCTGAACTATGGACGAACGACAAATAATATGCGAGCATCGGGTTTAATTAAATATAACTCTAGTATAAAAACTTCATTGAAAGAACCTAAGTAATTTGCTTTCATGTATGTGAGGAATAAATTGTTCTTAGACTTTGATGATGCTAGACAAATTAGAATATTAGAGTACCCCTTTAGAAAATTGTGTTAGAAAATTTTCTGATGCAAGTATTAGAGTATTCAACAGGACGGAACTGCCAAGGTCTTCTGTCTCGCTATATGGACAGAACTGCTCATAGACTAATGAAGCCTTAGTCTTCTACAGAAGTGCTCCCAGAACTGCTACTCCTTAGAAGTTCTACCGAAGTCGTTAAACTAACAGGATACTCCTTAATGGCGAGGAGCCTCTCAACGGAAGTACTACTATTCAATGCATTAAATGCTCATTTCATACTCTCCACTCATTGAGATATTTAAAGCACATGATTGACCGAAGAATCCAGGAGAATATTATTTAATACTCCAAAAATAGTAAGTTGACGAGTTTGTGGGAACCGACCAGTCAAATCAACTGTGCAAGCATTTAATGAAAATATTCTCTACACTCCAACGGGAAGACATCCTTCAGTATATAAGATACACCTCAAAGGAATAAAAGATTAACTTTATCTTTTGAAACCAAGCAAGCAAAATCTCTTGAGAGCTCATCATCTTCATACTCATCACAAGAGATCAAGCTAAAGTTGGATAAGAAAAATATTCATATCCTCCATCCAACTCAAAAGAAAGTTCCCTCCAGTACTTCAACAACTTAGCATCTGTAACGCCCCAAAATCCGGTCTAGTAGTTAAGATACATATGAATAAATTACTTTATCAAATTTAATGTTTTCTCCTACTTATTCGGGTAAATTTAAAATATTATTTAATCAAAAGAGTATTAATAATAAAGTAATAGTGGAATAGTACGTACTCTAACACTCTTTTAAAATATTTAATTTAATTGAACCAAATTGGAAAGTCAAT